CTGTGGAGGGGGAAACAGGCACCTACTTCCCAAAGCAGCAGGAGAGAGAGAAGTGCAAGCAGGAGAAATGCCAGACACTTATAAAACCATCAGATCTATTGAGAACTCACTACCATGAGAACATCATGGGGCAAACTGCCTCCGTGATCCAATCGCCTCACACAAGGTCCCTCCCTAGACGTGGGGATTATGGGTATTCAATTTGAGATGACATTTGGGTAGGGACCCAGAGCCAAATCATATCATCTCCCATGTCGAGGAACTGAACACCAAGGAGATCTCCTATTGGGATCACGTGAGCACCCCAAGAGAGGCAACGTATGGAAGCTTGCCACACAAGAGAAGCAATAGCTAGCCAATGTTAGCCAAGAGATAACCTAACCAGGGCTCCTTCCTTCCTTCCTTCCTTCCTTCCTTCCTTCCTTCCTTCCTTCCTTCCTTCCTTCCTTTCTCTCTTTCTCTCTCTCTCTCTTTCTCTCTCTCTGTCTGTCTTTCTCTTTCTGGCTTCCATTCTATAAGATAAAAAAGAAGAGATGCATGAGAGAAAATAAATTTGGAATCGATATGTTAGGAGAAGACTTGGTTTTATCCCTACTTCAAGTTCCCTAAGAGAAGAACTAGCTGGTACTTGGATAAGAGGAAATGTGCAATAAATTGGATATGTAATTATACTTTTAAAAACTGGACTTGAATTGACTGGACTTAAAAAAAAATAGCTGAAAATAATGAGGAAGTTGAGGAACTAGTCAAGATGTCTCTAAGGAATGGAAAAGGGAAATCTGAGAGAGCATAGTAAAAGATAGTTTGATCCCACAAACTTCAGATTGTTCAATAAGCCTGTTATATGTACCACGGTTCCTAAAACAATCCATTCCTCTTCACATAGAAATTTTACTTTTGGAATTTATCTGTGGTGACACAAAGAATCATATTGTCAAATCTGACTATAGAAATCATAGATTGTACCCAATATGAAACTTCACCAATGATTTAAGGAACACAGGTGAAGAATTCTTTCCTTGATGTGATCTGAAACACTAAGATGCAGCTTCCAATAAAAAAGGAATTTTTCCTACCACAATAAGACATCATTTGGCTCCAGGTTAATAGATGAAGCACTGGAGCAATTTGGGCTACCTCACATAATTACATGATATCCATGACCTTCCTCAGCTAGCCAGCCACCATAAATCTATAAATACCAGTTGCATTTACAATAAGCAACTTCAACACAATATTTTTCCCATGAAAAATCTTTATAGATAAGAAATTACCATTATCCTTCTGCTAATAAAAACAAATTATATGATTTACTGGTAATTCGTATGTTTACCAAGAGGTAGTTTGCATGTTTGATAGTAGAATTACCACAGTCATTCTTTCTTCCTGGACATCCCTGAGACAGAGAATAGGGTACAGGGTTTTGCTACTGCAAACCCTTTTCTTCCTAAACCATAGTAAAATAATCGGATAAAATTGCACCTTTTTAGGTATAAGAATGTTTTATTCAAGTAATTGTAAATAACCCAAATAAGTAAGAAATGAAGTTTCTTCAAATAAATTGTTCATACATTCATATCATAGAATATTATATAGTCACTATGAATGATAATATGTAGACATATATTTCTGGACATAAAATTATGGCTATGAATGAGAGTTTAGTGAAAAGGTATGTTACAATACAATATACACAGTATAATACAGGATGATATGAATTTATTAGCACTCAAACACGTATATAGAAAAAAAGGCCAGAATGCTTCAGAAAATATAACAAAGTTTATGTATAACATCCATCCTGTCAAATAGATTTGATTCTAAACTTTAGATCCTTATAGTTTTATAGATTCATAAAGACACATAAAACCAAAAATAGTCTACCCCCCTTATGTATATATGACCTAAAGAAATTTCCTAAACCTTAAAACTTTTTCCAAAAATATCTGAAAATCCTACCTTGCCCAGGCTTTGTTATATATGGCTCCTCTCTTTTCCAACATTTCCCTGTTCATACATATATAATAGCAAATATCATATGTATGTTTATTCTTTTCTTTGTCTCTTCTACTAAGCTGGAAATTCTCTTAGGCAGGAGCTACTTCTATCATCTTGATAATCTATCACAACACGGATATACACAATCTATTATAAATAGATTTTTTTTCTAGCATGGAAAGGAAGAAGAAAGAAGATAAAGAGAGAGAAAACTACAAGACATTATACTGTGTTTTGTGGGATGAAGTACTTATTTGCAATCTTAAAAATTTAGGTTAGGAAAATAAGACACTGCTATAATTTGATTCCCAAATTATGGGGCAGAGTTCCTACAGGGGCAGAGTAACTGTTGACCAGACTCTTCTTTTTCTTTCCCCTTCTTATCTTGCTCCTGACCCAGTCACTCCAGGGGAGGAGGACTACATCCATTACATGTATGTTCTCCAAGGACAGAAACTCAACTAACAGTAGTTTAAACCAACAGAGATTTATTATTCACACATTACAGGAAGTCTGAAGGTTAACAGTGACTGGCATTTATTCCTTTTTTCAACTTCAACAAGAAACCAAAATCTTTCTATTTTTATGCTGTTCTAATGTCTATTGGTTTGGGGTCTTATAGTTGCATGATAAGTACTGAACTGTGAATACTATATCTACAATTCAGGGAGGAAGAGGTAAAAGGAACAGAGGTAAAGGGGTATTCTAGGTGAATGGATTACATTTTATCAAGAATTTAAAAGCATTCTGGGAACTTCCACTCAGCTGACAGTCATTAATAATTCACTGGACAGAAAAAGAGTCATAAAACCATAGCTGGGTGGAAAGAAGCTAGAAAGAAGAGCATTGTATTGGCCAGAAAACATGGCAGCTACATTTTTTTAAGTTGGTTAGTTATTGCCTGGAACATTTCATGGACTATAAATATTGGTAGGCAGTGGTATCACGCTTTAAAAGTTACAAACCCATATTAAGCTTCTTCTCTTGAAATCAGTGATTCTCACTTCTATGGAATAAGCAGACTTGGCCAGGACAGGCTTCCTCTATTTGTGCCCAATCATGCCTCTCTCTTCTCTACTTCCTTTATTTCATGTAGTTCTGTGAGTAAGCTGGCTTAAGACGTGCCCCTTGACAAGCCATACAAGTTGCCCTATCTTTACCTTGTTTCTTACATGTAGCTAGCCAAAGAAAACCAAATTTTAAGATTCCAGTAAAGAGGATGACGAATGCTAGGAGACCCACTTAAAATTGAACACAGCTCTCTTTGTCCTTCCAACTTTTAGCAACATTTTCATTGGAAATAAGAGGTACCATATCACTCGTAAAGACAGTGGCATTTCCATTTTCTTTTTTATGATTTTCAGGGATCCTGTAAGCAGCAAGGAAAATTGGCAAGTTTCAACAATTTTAATATGTTATCTTTATAATATCAGCAATTTCCTTCACACCCCAATTTCTAAAAGACCTATGATAGGCATGCAGCAATTGGACCCATGAATTCACAGGCATGTTTGAATATTATCAACTAACAGATAGTAAATATACAACTATTTACAACATAAAGTATTTTAAGTATGTTGATGCTATCAATGGGCTCTTGTATGAAAAAAAATAGTTTATAACATTGAAAATGTTAAAAATAGTTTATAACCTAAATTCGAGCAAAACAGATTTTATAAAAAATCAAAGAAATAGGTAGAAATAAGATAGAACTCTTGGCCAGATTTTCTAAAATGTTAGAGAGAATTAGTGGTTATATAAGAACAAAGAACCAACCATGAAAACCAAATTATACTGGTGGGGTAAAAAGAAAATACACATCTGAGGAAACAGATGTAGCAATATATAGAAACATTCAAACTTAGATTCTTGAGAGTAATATATAAAATATGTAAGATACATGCATATAAATGATATGTTACATCAGAAAGAAAGGCAAAACCTACAAAAGTTGAGGCTTTTGAAATTGTTATATGATATTAACAATATTTTTATATTATCACAAGTCAAACAATTTTTATTTTATTTCTACTACAAAACATAAGATGTTTTCTGTTGATGTTGGTGAATAGCTTACTGTTAATAAATGTCAGGAAGCAAATTAGTGTCATCTCCTATTTTCTTGCCTTTTTTATCTTCAAGGAAAAATTTGTTGGAATGGGAAGTATAAGGAAAACAATGATGAGAGGAAATTAAAACTGGGATATGTGGCCCTATCAGAAGAGGACATTTTAGGCTCTTATTAGTGGCTCCCAAATGCTAGCTTGCAGACTAACTACAGAAGAAGGCTGGAAATGGATAGAGATGATCAAAGAGGAAGAAACATTAAGTTTAAAAATCCAGAGGAAAGATTCTAGTTTGCCTAGGTCAAAGAACAGCAAGAAGGCCACTGGAGCTAGAAAGGTATAAGCCAGTGTGAGAGAAACAAAAAAATGCAGGTGGAAAGGTGGACAGGGAGCAGCTCATGCAGGAATAAATGTGGTTTATAATAAGGACGCTTTATTTATTCTCAACGCCTTGAGAAGCCAACAAAGAATTATGAACAAAATACGTGTTTTAATATTAACAAAATTTAGAAAACTTTTATTATAGGGGAAAAGAAGATGAACAAAATTTATTGTCCAATCCAATAAATCAATGTCAGGTTAACATTAATTTGCTAAGATGGCAGCAGTGAAGATAGTGAGAACTTGACATCTAGATGTATTTTATAAGTGTAACCAAAAGAATTTAGGATAAATAGGATATGGAGGGTGAAGAAAAGATAGAACTCAAGGAATATTCCTAGACATCTGGCATAGCACTTAGGTAACTGGTGGTGCCATTTTCTGAAATGAGAAAATCTGAGAAATGAGTATGTTTGGCGGGGGACGGTGGGGAAAGTGAGAAGACAGAATTCTATTTTGGACGTATTTTCAAAGACAGAATTCTATTTTGGACATATTAAATTTGATATATCTGTCAGAAAACAAAGCAGAGATGTCAAGTAGACAATCAGGCATACATGTCCCAAGTGCAGGGAGAGTTTGAGGCTGGAGCTGAAAACTGGGAAGGTCATCACAAAGGATATACTTTAGAGCCATGGGACCAGAGGAGATAATCTCAGGGATAGGTGCAGGTGAGGACTTCAGGAAGGTTGAGGAACGAAGCGTGGGCACTCCAACATGTATAGATTAGGTGAGCAAAGGAGAAGAACAGGACTGCTAGAAAAATGGGAGCACCGGAAATCATACAAGGTAGGTATTCCAAGAACAGGAGGGAGTTATCAATTGTATTAAGTACTTTGAACTCATGAAATAAAATGAGAAATGAGAATTAATGATTGGACTTAAAAGATAAATGACCTTGTCAAGGGTATTTTAGTGGAGGGTAGAGGTGAAAGCTGATTCAAATGAAGGAACAAATAGAAAATGAGGAATGGAAAACTGTTTTGAAAAAAATCACAATAAAAGAAAGTAGAAGAAAAGGTAATAGAGGCAAGGGTATAGGGCCGAAAAGAAGTATTTTTTTCTTTATTAATGAGTGCTTTTGTAGTACATTTGGATGCAAACAGAAATGCTTCAGTAGCAAGAACAATATTTATTAACTTATACTGCAGATTTTAGTTTCCAAAAATGACTGCAATAATATTCCCTATCCCATGTGTTTTTCTACAATGGGACCTTGACACTTTTCTCATCAAGAAGGGTGGTTGATGTTCCTTCCCCTCAAATCTGTGCAGTTTTTGACTAGCTTACAATCAGCAGAATGGATGCTCTGTGAAGCATCTTTCTGTTCTGTGGCTAAGACAGAAAAGGAAATGAAATTTACTCCTGGATGGCTGGAACACTCCCACTGAACCCTTAAATTGCTTCGTAAGCATTCCGACTGCCCTGAAACTACCATGCTATGAGGAAGCCCCAAGCCACCCCTGCAGAGATACTACAGAGAGAAGTTTTGAGACTGCTTAGTGAGAGAAACACTAGCCATTCCCCAGCTGCTCCTGACCTCCTCCTCCGTTGGTTCTAGCTCCAGCCATGATCTGAATACATCAGATGAGGGATCCTGGGCCAGAGAACACCTGATCCAATGACCCATACTAGATAAGAAAATGCTTGTGTTAAGATACAAGTTTTAGGACGATTTGTTAAGCAGCAATAATACTTAAAGAAAGGGGAGAATGGCAGAATAATTTTACTGAGTAAATCAGAAGGACTGGTATTCAATGCATAAATGTAGAGTTTACCCATGATAAAAAGTAGATAAGTAACAAATATGTGTCCGATGTGTAGAGCTAGCAGATTTCATGGTGAAATGGTGAGGCATTTGTCTTCTGACTGCTTCTATATTCTCAAAGCTGTAAGAAGTCATTAATGCAGAGTAAAAAGATGAAAGAGATGTGAAAATAGGAAAGAGGAGAAGATGTGAAATAATGTTTTGAAAGAGTAAGAGGGTGACCTGATTAGGGAAATGGAGTAGGATAGCCAGGCAGTCTTGAGGAAACACAGGAGGTTTGTGATTATGATTTTTAAATGAACCAGTCGGTACCTTTGTGTGTTTCCCTCTTGCTGTGTTTGGCTGCGAAGTTGCAGGTATGGTTAAAAGAAGGGCTTACGTAGTGTTGGTATTTTACTTTATCAGGCAATATGGAGAACAAGAGAGGCAAGGGAGCTGAAATGAATTCAAGGAACTGTCATGGCAAAACAAGGCAATGTAATCTGGATAAGAAGAGAAGATTTTCAGGGTTATCCTGCAGGGTTACAAAGGTGGCACAGAGTTAAAAAAAAAAATGTGTAAGGTATTATGAAATAGCAAGCTAGAAGTGTTTGATGGTCAGAGAGTGGAATTCCTGAAATTGAGGTTTTGTGGAAATTGGTAATGACTAAGTTCAGGGAATGACATAGAGATGCATGGTTGAGGATACGAGGAGGGCATAATAACTGGGGTTAAATGTAGTCAAGCAATTGAGGGTCCAGGATTTTAAACGAGGGGTCTAAATGACTGTTTAAGATAGTAAGAAAAATAACATGCATAGTGAAACCAATTGCTAAATCTCCAGGGAATGAGAAGATATAACTGGGAGTTTGCAATATGAATGTTCAAGAAGCATAGAGGGAGCTGTTTTCATATTCCTTGGATAATCTGGGGGTTTCGACAAAAAGTGGGACAGATAGTGGTCTGGGCAAAACAATGAGAAACCTAGAGGACATCTAGTCCACCTCTTATATCCACTGTACATGAAATACAGAAGAAAAAGCTGTCACAATTCAAAGATCTGTATCTGAAAGGATACCTGAGCTTATTTTAGAGGAAAAGGTGATTACATATTAAGAGAAAAAGATACAGGAGATTTTGTAGTGAGTACAGTGAAGAGTGTGAGCAAATGGGGAAGGGAGAAAAATTGATTCAGATTAGGGAACACACAGCCATGCGGAGCTGTAATCATGGTGGATGTCCCAGGAGGCTTGAACCTAAGTTTGTGATCAAGGTAAGACATAATGAAATCAATCCTGATGGCTTCTTGCAGAATGCAGAAAGTCAACTTGATTTATAGTCTCTTTCTTATGATTTGTCTCTTAAACATTGTATAATGCTAAGAAGAGAAGAGGTGGGGCAGGTGACGAAGATAGTGAGTGACAGTCTTACCAAGTGCGTATGGATTTGTGGGGGTTTCCTAAAATCTTACTCTGGTCATTGTCAATGATGTGAAGACATGGTCTTACCAGAATCACAAAGATTTCCTTGGGATTGCATTAAATCTTATTGCAAGTTCTATTGTGACAATATGAGGAACAATCTTACCATGGCCAAATGGAGCCTTGGGCCTAAAAGGAGTTACAGATAAGAGAGTCAAGACCATGGGTAGAAAATATAAGCCTTGTATAGAAAAGTTATTTGTTTCTGAAGAATGACAAAATAAGTAAGGCATGAACAGTTAAAGATGTCTAGAAATTTTGATGTTAAGATATGAAAATTCTGAGAGTCAGACAACCTTAGAAAAGTACTGATTAATAATGCCTATCACAATGTAGGAAATGAATATAAATTTGATGGATTAAATAATTGTTTGGAATTGCTGTGCTGTATGCAATAGAAAGATAAAGGAAAGGCATGTATGTATTGCCAAGTATCCTGGAGAGTTATGCATGACAGTGTAGATGGCAAGGATTATGGCTTCTGTGATCCTCCTGATGTACCCACCCAAGGCCATAGCATAAAAGTATCTAAAATATTATATTAGAAAAGGAAAATGTAGTAATTAACATTCTATCTTTATACCTTTAATGGGACTATAAATGTGATATTGCTTTCTAGCTCCTGGCTTTATCAAAGTTGGAACATATTTATTATATATTTTTACTCAAGATATGTCATTTGATAGTCTAGAATATGTGCTCCCTGAGGTCAGGAAAGATATCTTATTCACTTTTGTATCCCCAGCTAGTATTGCAGCATCTGATATCTAATATACATGCATAAATATTGACTAGAAATGCAACTATCCATATGTATTTGTGACACCTTCTAGGAGAATAATGCATGTTTATAATTTAATAAAAAGACTATTAAAAACTTTGCCATTTTTATATTGTCAAGATTCTAGTACTTTTCTACTTGTTATATGTATGTATATACTATATGTATATGTATATATATTTATTTTTTTTTTAATGAAAAAAACATCTCATTCAGCTGCCAACCTAAGACCAGTGCTGGTAATTACAGCTTGCATGCTCACCCATTATAATGGCAAAAAACTCATGTGAAGGAAAAATGGTATTGCTTGTGTTCTTAAAAAATAAAAACCTATTGTATTGCAAGATTTTAATGCCCAGGTGTTATCTAATGTGCTATAAATATGTATAGCAGACAATTTCAGAACAAGTTGTTTCATTTCCATGGTAACGTCAGGGCCACAATGGCGGGTGCTGGTTAAAAATGGATTCTTTTCATTAAAAACACACAACAGGAGGGGGCAATTAACAGACCGAAGGGAAGGCCTAATGAATTTAACAAAAATACAATAAAGCTGTCTCTCAATTTTTACTGTAAACATTTAGGATGCCAGACTACAAATAAAATGCTTGATAGATTCCAGCCTATTTCAAGAGACAATTCTACAATTATTTGATTTCAAATGTTATATTAAATATTTCATGATTTCCTGACCAGTCTGAATAGGAAAAGAGAGAACAGACAAACCTAAAAAAGGTCTGTTTTGATTGTTGAGATCACTTAAACTCCATCTAGTATACAAAATTGTGAACCTTAATCACTGTTCGATAGAAGAAAACTAGGAAAGTCAAAAAGGCTAATTAAAATTGACATAAGTACAATATAAGATTAATAAGTAAAACCACAAAACACATATTTTCTCCACTCAACTGGGGCTGCTACTGGTCAAGATTGAAAGAATTATTTTTAAAATCATGCATTTATTTGCCTGATACTCTGCCACTGTCTGGCACCAAAGAATGTAATTCAAAGTGAAAATTGTGTCAGTCATTCAGAGGTTTTGACTACACAAGGCTAAACATCTGCATATTTGGATGGATGCCTGGCTTTCTAATTCACTAACTGAGAGGAGATGCACCAGTAGTTGTTATCCTATGCATCAAGAAGGTTAATTCATTATGCATATCAGTTATCAGTGTACTTGTTTGGGATACATTTATCTTATCATCTAAGATTATGTTGATTTTATTTAGATCATTTCCAAATAAAGGATAATTAAACTGCTATGTGACCAGAAAGAACCCATTGTTAGAGAATTCCACAAATATAAAATTAACTCCCAGGATGACTTTCAGGATACAGGGGAAAAGAGTACAGGGGCAAGAACATGAGGCCTGTATCAATCCTCTCTTAGTAAACAGATCTGTGAGTTCTGTCAAGTCATTAAAACAGAGGTCCTCAAACTCTGGGCCATGGACTGCTACTGATCTGTGGACTGTTAGATACTGGGACCCACAGCAGGAATTCAGCTGCAGACAAGCAAGTGACGCTTCATCTGTATTTACAACCACTCCGCATCACTCACATTTACCACCCATCTCCACCTCCTGTCAAAATGAGGGGTGGGGAATTAGATTCTCATAGGAGGGCAAACTCTATTGTGAACTCTGTTATGTGAGGGATTTAGTTTGCGTGCTCCTTATGAGAATCTAATGCCTGATGATCTGTCATTGTCTCTCATCACCCCAAGATGGGACTGTCTAGTTACAGGAAATCAAGCTTAGGGCTCTCACTGATTCTA